CATTTATCTTTCGACACCCTGCACATAAGACAGAATGACGATTAAACATCGTTGAAAAAAATGCAAACACTTCAAATCAAATATTCTCATCTTGATGACCTGCTAAGCTGATAAGAAAAAACAAACCCGAAACAAACGTACAAATAAGTTATCAATTATTAAATCAAGATATACTATTTGTCAAAAGAGATGCTCATTATTCTGAAGGAAGAAAGTACATATAATTCTAAATCTGATAGAATAAAAAAAGATTCGATTCATTAACACATCTTGTCGCAAAACTTCACTTAATGTAATAGGTACAAAGAATGAATTGCTAACTAGTCATAAACATCATGAAATGTAATAGGTACAATTAATGATACAACGCATCGTAAAACTTAAACTAACAAGCACAGCAATTGATGCTCTAAGTCATCGTAAATTGTTACGAGTACAACAAAAGATGCCCTAACTTATCACAGAACACCTTAAAATGTATTAGGCACAAATATACACTAACTTATCGAAATGCGTTATTTAATTTAATAAGCACAACAAATGACACACTAATTATTAACTCATCGTAAAACTTCATTTAATCTAATTGGCACATTAAATAATACACTATTTCATTGTAAAACCACCTTAGAATTAATAGACGCAATAAATGATACACTAACGCAGGGATGGGCAAAATACGGCTCTGCCGGAAGGTTTTATTCGGTCCGCGGAATGAATTTTAACTTGCCGATCTGGGGCGAATAGAAACAATATGCATCCATTTTCTTGTCTACTTTGTTTAAAGCTATTTTTGTTTTTTCCTTTTCAACAAAGTTCTAATGACCTTTTTACTTTCTCTATTTTTGTTCAACAAAACATAAATTGATGGAAATAGCTGGCACAGACAGCTTCAATTGGTAAAATGCTGACAGCAAAAGTTCTTTATAGAATAGCCTTAGATTAGCGCCATCTGAAGGAGTTGTTTCTAAATATGCCAAAGTTTGAAATTTACAAATCGCTACCAAAAGCTAGTTTTCCAAATTTAATATTTCATGCCCAGAAAATCAGTGCTATTTTGTCTTCATCTTAGATCTGTGAACAAGTCTTTTCAACTATGAACCTTAGAAAAATCATTTCAGAAGTAGACTAACAGACAACCATTTAGCCTCATTCCTTAAAATAAGCACATCTCACTTGGAACCTCAATGTAAGGAACTTTTAAAAATGAAATCACAATTTCATTCATCTCATTAGATATTTAAATTAAAACTTGTATATCGTTTTCCTATTATAGAAATTTTCACTTTGCCCACCAAACTTTTTTTTTCTTCGATTTTTTGCCCTCGACCAAAAAAGTTTACCCATTCCTGCACTAACGCATCATAAAACTTCTTAAATGTTATAGGCAAAATAAACGATGCACTGTATTGTAAAAATTTTTCTGAATGTAGTAGGCTGAAGAAATGAAATGCTGATTACTCGTAAAATCTCACTAAATGTAATGGATAAGGTAACGCAAATGATAAAATTCAAATTTTTCTGCGTTGCGATACACAACTTATTTCGCAAGAACTCTTTATTTTACGAAACATTTCGGCAAAAATTTGGTAATGCCCTTTAAAATCTGACAGCATTTAAACCAGTAACTTCTTACGCTAGGGGTCAAAAACCTCGAAGCAGAAAGTGAGTACAGTGCACAAAAAAATGAGGGAAACACTCTGAATAACTTTTGATCTAATGATCTGGCTTTCAAGAACTAGGACTCACTCTTAATAGTTTGAGAGATGGATCTAGTTATTAAAGGAGATATTTTAAGTTACGAAATCAGGCACAAAAGTTTGCTTCTGAATGAACATACTTTTTTTTTTGTCGGATTTGGATTCGTGATCCTCAAAATATAGAGGATCAATAGTTTGGTCAGGGGAGCGGTCCAAAGTTTGGAACAATTACTATTAATTTTACTTTTTGCGTATTTCACCTTGTCTCGAGAAATTTTTCAGCTAATTGAAAAAATTTTGCACACAATTGAAAATTTTATCATTTGAAGATTAATTCCGTGCATTAAAGAATTTTTAATGATTATTTATTATTTTATTTAATGTTATACGAAAAATTTTTACATTATGTTAAAAAATTTACTTTTATATGGCAAAATACAAAACTTAAACGAAATCGGTCAAATGGTTCCCGAGAAATTGAATTTTTAAAAAGTTAGAAATTTAAAATTTGATTTTTCTTTAGCAAAACGACAAATTTCGTTCAAATTTTGAAATTTGTTTTATTTTGGGGGTCATAAATCCAAATCTGTCGAAAAAAGATACGTTTATTCAGAGAAAGTACGTTTTTATGTCTGATTTCACAACATAAAATATCGTCAGGGCTAATTAATTATCATATTTGAGGTCACTCTCTCAGTACATTAAGATTGAGTTTTAGCACTTGAAAGTCTGATCATTAGATCAAAAATTATTGAGGGTGTTTAGCCTGTTTTTTTTTATGCACTGTACTGATTTGTAATCATGAAATGAGCCCTCAATTACACTGATTACACCCAATCTAAATGAGATCACATCTCATGTTAGCTAAACTATACTTATTCTGATAAAAAAATGAAAACATATGAAATGGGCATAGCCTTAAATTTCCAGAATTCTAATCAATTTTTGAACATAGTAATAGATTTATAGTACAGAAAATTATGAAAAACAATTCATTTGAGGCTGCTGGGACTCAGGGGATAGAGCGTTCGTCGCCCAATGAATTGATATAGGTTCGAATCCCAGCGGCATCTGATTGATACGAACTCTGCTCCTAGTTCGTAAGGAGCCCATACCTGACGTAAAATACCTTCAGTGGTAAACGGATCATCTTAGAATCCCCTCGTCGTCGGGCTGATCGCGGGAAGCGTCCGTGGTTTTCCTCTTCATGTAACGCGAATGCGGGATAGTTCAATTGTCCTCCACGAAAGCTAGTTTGTTCCCGTTTGATCCAGGAGTTCCCTTGTCCTTTTTGTTGAGTTCAAAATTGCAAGGCTACGGAGTTGAACTTTAATAGTCGTAAACTCGGAATTGGATTGGCAGTTTACACGGGTTACAAATTTAAAATAAAAAATTCTCCAAACAATTTTAAAAAGTAAAGTGGTGAAAGAGAAACCATTCATTAAACTAAATGATGAATTTGCGAGCCATTTCTAATTTTCTCTTCGAAAAACATGTTATTACTTTGCACTTTTATATTTGTATTGAAGGTAATAAATAGTTATTTTTTTATAAAGCGCTTGCTAAAATTAGCTTAGTTCCTAAACCAGTTTGCAACCCTAAAGGCTGTTATACACCATCATCACAACAGATGGTTTCGAATTGCCTTACCCTTTAATGAATTGAAATATTTTACAATCACTACAGGTTTATGATTTCCTGAACATATTATATAGAATTATTAAATATGCCAATAAAGTTGAAGCATTTTCGAATTGCATCCCATGTTAATGAATTAAAAATTTCCACAATTTTCACACCCCAGAACAAATTATTTAAAATTGCTTAATATGGGAATGAATAGAAGTTTTTTAAAATTGTATCCAATGTTAATAAATTTAAATATTTTACGATTTACAAACAGTCACTATTATATGCAACTATAATTCAAAATTGCTTAACGTGTTAGTGAATTGGAATATTCTAGAATCGCCTGGCATGTAAATGTTTTACAAAGCTTTATCATTTCCACAAATCCATTATCATCCAAACAAGATTTTAGATTGCATAACATTTTTATGTTAGGCAGCTCTGTTTATGTGAATTGAAAAGTTTTACAATTACCACGCGTCCACTTTTATCCGAATAAATGCTTCTAAATTGCTGTGTTAATAAAGCTAGATATTTCAGAATTGCATCGCATGCTAATGAATTGAATTATCTTTGAGTTACAACTCTTATGCAAATAAATATTTTAGAATTGCCTTACATGTTAATGAACGACGTCTTTAAATAGATGCGAAGCCCATAACTACCAGAACAAACAAGCATTTAGAATTGCCACTCGTGTTAAAAATGTCGCTTGAGAATCGAACACCACACCGTATTTTGATTTTTTTTTAATTAAACAAGACTATTAAAGGACATATAAAATGAATTTAAAAACAACTTACCATGGAAGATAAAGAATAAATTGTATAATCCCTATAAAGAAAAAATCATCCGTCGCCAGGGTGCAACGCCTTCCAAAAAGGCGCATTCCTGCCATCTTGATTACAGATTATGACCGAGTATCATACCATTTTCGAATGCTTCTTTATACTCTAAAAACAAAAACGATATTTTTTCAGTTTTAACTCCATTGCAAATTACATTGCAAAAAAAAAAAAAAAATTAAATTACATGTCCGGTTTTAAACAATCCATTTAAGTGAGAAACACTCACGAGACATCGTATTTATCGAAGTTATCAGGAAACATTTTCAACGGGATCTGTCATAATTCATCACTAAAAATTTTACTAAAAAAAAAATTGGTGATTCATTAGCCTTGGATTCAATAAGTATCTTCATCGTTAAATGCCCTGCGCTTTGAGATCATCGTAAGTATACAAATGCCAATTGCATCATAAATTTAAATTCTTGGCTGTTTATTTTGCTTTTGTACATTTTGGGAAACGAATGAAAACATGCAAGAAAAGAATCGATATCCTGCTTTTAAGCCACCGAAAACTAGATTGCGACCTTATCGTGCCTTATCTCATTACCTCAGAGTGAATGAAAATATTGATAAAAATTTATCTCTTGACTTATTAAGTATTTGTTTACGTTAAGACTACAATCTCTTTAGAAATCCCAGGGTACTGTCGTTTGAGGCGAAGCAGATCTTTAATATCCTTCAAATTGTTGTCGATAATAACAAAACAAGGCTTTCAAAATGTTGATGAAATGTTTTGCGGATAACACTTTTTTTATTAATTCGAAAGAGTAGAAAAAAAATACTCGAATTTGAGACATAGATTTTATTTTATGAGATCTATGTTGTTAAGATCGCCTCAAACTAATCCTTAAGCGAGGGAGAAAAAAACAGTTAATAAAACCGAACGAATCATTAACGAAGTAGGTGTGATTAAAAGCTTTAAAACTGTTTGATTTCCGGAGGTATCTATCTGAGAGTAAGTGCAATATAACTGTTTGAAACACATTTAAGTTTCATCCTCCTATTTAACTGGTTTTAATGCATTTTTATCTTGCTTTCCGTGATTTTTGAAATCACTTTTGTTTGATTTTTGGTTTTGGTTTTGTTTTTCGTCTTCGAAATATTAATTGGTGACTCTTGATATATGTATTTTTTCGACTTCATTTTCGGTCGGTGATTTTGGAACACCGAGTATGTACTATTTTGCTACTAGATAAAAAACATCATTCGCTTCAAAAAACTACTAATTGGACATGTTTTAAGAGTTCAAAAAGATGCGCCCAATTTCAAAACTTGTCAGACGCGAAGGAAAAGAAGCAAAAGTTATTCGAAATAAAAGTGAGAAACAATGTTGCCTCAAAAATGTTCTTACCACCTCTCCATAGTGCGTGGAAATGCATTTTACCCTGATTTACCCCTCTCTGTCACTGTGGTTTTTGTTGTTATGCTTTTATCTTTCTTTCTCTCTCAGATGATGGTTATTCCATTAATGAAATGCCAAAATTAAAGTCACTACCTGCTTATATGAGATCCACTATCGTTGACCCCCATTTTCCTTTCATGGACCCCAAATTTTTTTTCCACTTGACATGGACCCCTTGCAAGTTGTCGTCGACCTCTGGAGATTGATATAGACCACTTTGGGAATCACTGCTCTAAACTAATACAAAATAATGAAAACACTAAGAAAAATATGTTTAATAAAAATCTTGCACCCTAGTTGCATGCCCATGAATAATTATATTCGTGAATCATGTGAATTGCTTTGACATTTACTTTGCTTTTAATTATAATCAAAACAAATCAAATAACAATGATTGTGCAAAATACTTTTTTAAAAAAATTAGAAACCAATAAAGAGAGGCGATGTCGCTTCTAAAACGCATCTCGATTTCACTATGCATACATTTGCTTGGTACTCGAGTTATCGAACAAGAATCTCCATGTAATGTTGGATAATTGAGGAAAAGAAAGTTGTAATGACTGTCAGGCGAGTTTAAAAACGAACTTGTTTTTAAAAGGTTTAAGAACCTAGATAACGATGATCGAGATAAATATACTTTATTACGACACAAAAAATTCTCCATAAATTAAAAATGCAGTAACGAAAGAAGATTGGTTACTCATACATTTCCTTTTTTAAAAAAAATCCATTTCATTGTATCCTTGTTTTTCTCATCAAAAACTGAAAAATGGAATTAATATATAATTTGGGAAATAAATTATCCAATACACTATTTAATATTTTTTTTCAATAGGAAAAAAATTGTGTTAGTGTAATTTTAAGGCTCACAATGAATAATGCAAAATAAATGTTATCCCATCATCGGTTATCGCAAAATCCAATTGGCTATACATTAAAAAACTTCATATTTTATTTATTACAAAAAAAATACATTAAGTGTCATAATGATCTAAATAAAAATGAAAGATTAAATATACATTATCTAATATGTTTTTAGAAATGCTGTGCAAAACAAATTTAGCAAATCTGAGGTGAGCTTGTTAGTTAATTGCGTGTTTAAACTTTTTGGTGTGCCTTTTTACTATGACTAATTTTAAAAAGCGTATCATTATAAAATAATTTTTAATAAATTAATATAATTTTAACGAATCTTTAAAAAAAACGTTAAAACGTTTCTCAAATAATCCTTTTCTTTCCAAAAATAACTCTTAAAAAAATAAAAATTCTTAAAATACTCATTTATCCTTATACAATGTATTAAACAAAACATGATTCATTAAAACTTTCTTGAAACATTTTTAGAGTATAAATTTAACCATTAGGTTGCAAATAAATTTTTACCATGATATCATGTAATCAAATTTAATATGATTTGATTAGCATGATTAACTTACACAACTTAGTACCGAATTAAAATTGCAACGAATTCGCACGATATTTTGAATCAAGGAGTCCTGAATCTCTATAGTGCAGTACTTAATATTCAATTCGAATTTGGAATTAATCGATTAAATAGTATTTACTAATAGTATTTTAAATAGTATTACTTGACAAAAAAAATATTAATCGGTTATGAAATAAAATATATATAGTTATAACTTGCTGTCACTTAAAACGTTTAAAGGTTTTAAAATAAACTGTGTTTTCGATGAATTTCAATCGTGGTATCAAAAACGGAGTTAAAGTTGTTTCAATTAGCATAATAAAAGGGTTCAACTTGGCGCAATATTAATGTTGCAACAAATTTACACGATATTTTGGTTCAAAGGAATCAAAAACAATGTGGTATTTAAAATTTATTTCAATTATATATTTCGTTTTAAAAAACGCTCACAATATTGAATGAAAACATTTTTAAAATTCAAATATAATCGATCAAATACTATTTTTAAGGCTTACCAGAAAAATATTTATTAGTTCAAAAATTAAGAATATTAGTTTAGTTGAATTATCAGTCTCTTTAATTTAAATATTACTTGCTGCAGCTTTAATAAAGGTTTTAAAACAAACCATGTTGCCAATGAATTTCCCCCATGCTATCATGTAATCAAGTTTAAGATGGTTTAATTAGCATAATTCTCTTCTCTTCTAAACTCAATTATGTATTCTAATTTCAATTATATACTTCTCCTTCAGAAAAATTTTACGAAATTGTAAATCAAACATTTCAAATAATCGATAAAATATTATTTGCATGATACTGAACAGAAAAATATTTATTCGTTTGAAAATAAAGACTATCAGTTGATGAATTATCCATCTCTTTAACTTAAATTAAATTTGCTGCAGCATTAATAAATGTAATAAAATAAACCATGTTTTCAAGAAATTTAACCCATAATATCATGCAATTAGGCTCATGATAATTTAATTAGCTTAATAAGGTAGTCTAACTTAACCCTATATATGCTGCAAAAATTACAAATAAATTGTACTTTAATTTGACTCAATGTGCTCGAAAATTTCTAAAAATGTATTATTTAAAATAAAATCCAATATATATTTCTCTTTAGAAAAATGTTACAAAAATATAAAGCAAACATTCTTAATACTTGGAAATAATCGAATAAATAATATGTTTAAGTACTTACCAGAAATATATTTACTAGCTAGGAAATAAAAGCTATCAGTACGATCAGTTGGTTGGATTATCGATCACTTTAACCTAAAGGTAAAATCACATCGGCACGATTCCATACACTGTTTCCATTATCACGTGTTACCTTCAGTGAGGGTACTTTTGTTTTTTGTACCTCTAATCAGAGGCGCGCGACCGAGCAAAACAATTCGAATTGCTATCGCCTGTCATTCTCGCGTTAGAATAACTCGATCGAGAAATGGTATGTCTTGGGGGCTTTTAACATTTCTTTCCTTGTTATAAGGTTGTTCCGAACAAACTCGTTTCGTCAGTTTCATACGTCGTTTCCTTCTTAATTTCTATTTAAGAACGGAAAAAAAAAGTGAGATTAACTGTAGGAAATGTTTTTTTTCCCTTCATTTTTTTCTTTTTATCTCTTTTTTTCCCCTGTTTTTTATTTCAGTTGAAAAAATTGAATTTCTCTTAAAAATTAAAAAAAAAGGCCATTAATTAAGAATAAAGATAATTTAAAATCGTCTTTCATACCGTTGTCGTGGCATTCTTATTGGTCAAAAAAATTCGTATGAAAAGATCCTTAGTTAAAATAGATAAATACGAAATCTTTGTCTGCCACAAACGTCAAATTAATAAAGTTATTAGGGTTTTTACCTGTAATTCTTTTTAGTAATTTCTTACTTAACTGTAGTTTTATTCTTTTCTATTTTGATTAGATATTTAATATATATCTGTTGAAGTTGTCGTCAACTACTTTTCGTCCTTATGTGAGGTCAGGGGTGCCCACAGGGGAGGAGGGGTCATATACTTGGGGGGAGAAATTTTTCTTTTGAATATTTTATACACACTTGTAGTTTTAAAATTTTAAATTATATTTTGGGAGTATTTTTAACTACTTAGGACAAAATTTTTTAGTATTTGGGAGGGGGGTGATTTAAAACCGGGAGTAAAAAGCAACGGAAAATAAAGCATCAGAAAAACCGCAGGAAAAAAACATCGCTGCACAAACTTGACCCTGAATTATAATTAAACATTATGAATTAATGACACATTTTTAATCAATCAAATAAAATTTTAAAATTAATTAATGTTTAAGGGTTAGTTTGAAATTTACGGGAAAGAACTCTTTAAATATGAGCATTAAAAATTTTCTAATACCAATAATTTACACTTATCGTATTATCATACGATAATAAGATGAAAAATAATTTTTTTAAACAAGTGATCTCTTTTAAAAATATTATGATATGATAATAAGATGAAAAATAAAACTTTTTTAAACAAGTGATCTCTCTTACAAATATTATGATGTAATAATAAGATGAAATAAGTTTTCTTTAAAAAAAAATAATGACATTTTCATCATTTTTGTAAATATTTTTAACTTTTCATAAGATTAACACCCTGTGAAAATATTGCCAAATGATATTTAATGTATGATAATCAGGGACCGTGCTAAGGACTTCAAATTATTAGTTAATAAATTAACCAAATATCAAAATTATTAAGATTTTGTTTTATTTTATAACCGTCGTTGAACAACCGACCCAATTTTATGGGTTTACGACTGCTAATGTTGAACTGCATAGCCTTGTAATATTGAACCCAATCCAAGGGAACTCCTGGATCGAGTATTGGGAGAAATTTTGCCTTCGTGGAGGACTTTTTGATGGAGCTAACCCGCATTTGCGTTACATGGAGAGGAAGACCACGAGAACCTCCCACGTTTAGCCTGACGGCAAGTGGACTCTAACCCATGATCCGTCTACCACTGAGGATATTTCACGTCAGCACTGTAGTCGGTGCAAGCCGGATGCAGAATTCATATTGACTGGGATTCGAACCCGGTTCGCCTCATTGGAAGGCGAACGCTCTATCCCCTGAGCCATCGCTGCTCAATATTATGATTGATTTTTTCCCGTAGAAAACTTCAAATCAAAATACAGTCGGACTTCTATTTAACGAACATTTTGCGAATTTCTCTATCTTGCGGTTATTTTCACAGAACCAAGAACATTTAGGAAATTTCTTCGTTAAATAGCTTCCAAATAGTGAAGTGAATTTTCTATTTAACGAACTTTTCTTTGAGAGCCACTTTCCCTATTTCCCAAAATATTTCAGAACATTTCAAACTTGTTGATGCATTTTATGGGGGAAATGACTTTGAATTTATTTTCAAAGCCAATTAACTTTTAGAGAAAGCAGTGAAATCTCTTTCTTTTTTTTCTTTTCTTTGCATTTTAAACAAAAAACTAACGGATTTCATCAGCAGCAATTAAACTTAAGATCACGTGTGGTAGTGTATGTTTAAAATTACTCTTATAATAAATGCAGCTATAATTTTATACATAAAGTTAGCTTTTTTAGTTAAAAATGTATGTAGCATGATAGTGTAACACTGGATAATGTTTTGCTCTATTCCTGATTTCCATGCAGATTTCTTTTATGGTTAAGATTCACAGAATAAATAGTAGATACTAGTTTACAAGATAATGGTGTATCGAATGCTATTTTAATTATATCCAGTGTTTATGAATTTAAAACCTGTTTTGTGTTGTTTAAGTATTTCAAAAGGTTATTTTCTATTTAACGAATTTTCCATATAAGTAACTTATTATCGTGATTTAGCAACTTCGTTAAATAGAGGTTCAACTGTAGGAGTTTACTATTAATTGAAATATTCAAATTCAAATCGAGAGCCATTTTGCAGAAGGGATGGAATGGAATGAATGGGAGAGAAGATTAAAAATCTAGTTGTTTTATTGTCTTTGAGGAGAAGAAATACGTTGGGGTTAATTTTTGATAGCTTATTAGAATAGAGCAGTAACATAAGGATAAACCTGAAGCGACAACATGTTATTGTCACGTTATTTTATTTGCCACAGAAAACATCCGGAGAACTAATTGGATGATAATATGCATCTTGCTACTGCTTAATCTGTTTTATTAACACTAATTGCAGGAAAGAATTTCGCCACGCAATATCGCGTGATACAGCAACGAACGTGGTAATCTGTATTTTACGGTAGTTAGTCTCATGATTACACAATCGCTCTTGTTTCTAAGATTAGATTATCTGAACTTAAAATAATTCTAATTGTTTACGCGGCATATCTAACGGAAATTACTCTAATCGATAATGTAGATATAAAATGCAGAATTTTTTCAAAAAAATTCCATTTGTTCGTTTTTTTTTTTTTATCAGGATCGAGGGGAATACATTCTTTTCGGTAGAAAAAATCATTCGTTAATACTTTCGTCAGAGCAGAATTTTTTTTCTCCACCGAATTTACGATTTTATTGCATTTGGTGAGGTGGCGAATGCTTAGCGCTGGCCCTGTTCTTAGAAAAGAAAGATTAAGAAATATTAAAAATTTAAGAAAAAAATTAAATTAAAAATTCGAAAACGAAATGAGCAAAAACTATAATCTCGTCAACAGCTCACTAGATTATATTCGCCAAAAGGAGTGCTTTCAAATATTGTATTAATATAGCCAATTCAAAGAGGAAATAAAAATTAAAATACAGAATTTTATCTAATNTGAGTTTTAAAAAGAGTGCGATCATGAAGAAATACTGCAACAATGCAAGCATATTATTCTATTGCAAAACATTCTGACCTCTTAAGTTCAATATTTAAAAAAAAAATTGCAAATGAACGGGAAATACTAGCAATTTGCAATTTTCACCTAAGCCTTTACCTTGCTCATCTTTCCTACAAGAAAAACTACATAATAGTTAGACCAAGGTCACCGTTAATAGTCTTTTACAATGTGTTTTTGCGGTTATTCGTTTTATAGTTTTGTGGTTACATAGTTTTTTATTCGTATAAAATAAATTCATTAATTGAAATCAATTTTTAGCTTCACTATAACCTGAATTTGAGCATATTCTGTGTCCAATTTCCTTGTGGTAAAAAATGAAGGATTTGTGAATATGATAGTGACGAATATAACATAGCAATTTGTCTATATATCGTAAAATATCGTTTTTTTTTTTTAATACCACAATAACGATAATCCAAAATTTATTTTCACGATATGATATGAACATTATCTTACATACCTTACATAAGCAATTACATTATCTTACATTACATTACTTTATCTTACATTACAAGCTGAACATTATCTTACGATAAGCAATGAGTATGTGATAGTTAACGACAGCGATAATGCCGCAACAATTATCGACCACAATACAATTAATGTTGGAGAAATTATTAATTATTCACACGTTTAATCGAAGCTATAAAATATCGAATACGACAATATTTCAAGCGTTATCAATAATGATAATTATATAAACTTATTAACCCATCTAAAATTATGTCAATTGAGAAATATCGCGATTTATCACGATACTTGAATTCAATCGATATATTTCAGTATTAATGTTTTGATATTACTATCACAGTTGGCAAGCCAAATTCTTTTTATTATTATTTTTCAATTTAATAAAACGGCAGCTTTAAAAGAAAAAACAATTTTTTTTTTAAATCTCAGTTTTTATTTACTTAATCATTTTACTAAGGTCGATTGGCTCTAACATGAAGCACTCTAAATAATAAGGTCACGATGAGATATGTTTAAAAAACTACCAAATTTCATATTGAGTAAAAATAGTTTATACTATTTATTCATTTTCCTATTTATATGCCTTGCATCGTACTTCTTCAATACAAATATATTTGAAATATTAAGGGGGGAATAAGGTAATCAATAACGAAAAGAAAAGCTTCTTACAAGAAAAAACATTTTGTAAGGCTTCTATTTTCGCTTTTGTTACACATAAATAAAAGCTTTGATAGTGATTCTTGGGCTTGGGAGATTCTGGACTTTGAATGTACTTAGTGAACTATAAGAGACTTCTAATTGATAATGTGAAAAACGATTTTAATTATTTACATTTTAAGAAATCTCCATTGAAATTCGGAGAATTGACTGCTAATTTCGGTCATCACCCATTTTTGAGGAAAAAGCCCAGAACCCGTAGTTGTAACGATCTTCAGCAAAATTAGCTGAGTTGGGCGTTAATTTTTACAGACAGCTCCTTTCATCGAGTAAGAAAGTCCAGAACCTGTAACTGTAACGATCTTCAGCAACATTAGTTGATTTGGGAGGTAATTTGTACAGACACCTCCTTTCATTGAGCAAAAAAGTTCAGACCCTGTAATTGTAACGAACTTCAGCATAATTAGTTGAGTTGAGCATTAATTTGTACAGACAGCTCCTTTCATTGAGTGAAAAAGTCCTGAACCGTAATTGTAATGTAAAATTAGTAGAGTTGACTGTTAATTTACACGGTTGTTATATAAAGTGTTCCGTAACTGAATTCGGGCGAGTGCACCCATGGTGGTTACAACATCACACTACTTACACAAAGGTTAAGGGTTTGAATCCAACCCACGCCAAGGAGCATCTCTCTCGAATATTTATATATTGATAAACATGCAACTCTCTCATTTCTCGACAAATCGCAGCACTACACTATTTCGCTTCGTTTCACAGCTCTCCGTAATCCGGAAAATATTTCGTCTGAATCTCAACCAACGTCAAAGATCGAATAGAACATACCTTTTACAAGCATAAAATTGATTAACGTGAGTCGGCAGATATTAAACGAGAACAAAATTTACGGGCAGACCAGTATTTTTATAGTCATGATATATTTATTTACGATCTTAAATTCATTTTTACAGTCAGTGACTAACATCTTAAACCGGTAACTGAGTATAATCTAGTAGGGAAATTTCTTAGAGTGTATTGTAGTTTTATTTAAAGAGGCTCGGATGTTTTATCTATGAACACACATAAAAACATAACAAAAAATTATAATTGTTATTATTTTGGCCCTGATTAAACTGGTTAAAAACTGTGAAAATTTTGATCATATGAGTTCCATTCAAAGAGACTCATGTGCGTAAAGAAGTTTTGATTTTTGCAAAAAAAAATATTTTTTTATTGTTAAGCGGATAGACAAAAAAGGATTGCAGTGAGTCTTTTTATTTAGACCCAGCCCAACAGTTAAAAAATAACAGGGAAATTTTACTACTCAATAAGAAAAAAAAATTCCTACAAAAAATGGAGATATCCCATAGTTCTACCTCAAACTCAACTTAACTCAAAGAATACTTTTTCTTTCTCAAGTAACTCAAGTTACTCAATTCTGTTGTCAAGTTACTCAATTCTTCCTTGAAGTTTGAACACGTGAGATATGTTAACCTCACGTTTTGTAATCTCTGGCCTTGTTGTAACACGTTTAACCTATGATGTAACTCTCCAAAAATGTATGGTTCAGTATATTGAATCTAACAGCATCTCAATTAAAAAAAATTATTTAATTCGCCAATTCTTTGCACGTTTAGATCAAGGAAAAAATATACCACACTCATTTAGTGATAATAATATTATTAAAAAAAATCTTGAAACTATGCCTTTATAATATCAATTTGTTAAAGATAAATATTAGTGTATCATGAAAACTAAAAATAATTATTTAAACTTGTTTCATTCCAGGTAAATACATTAATTCGAAGACAATATGAAGCTGTCAACTTTTCATCTTGTCTAGTAAAACAAGGAAATACTTAGAAACTCTTGCATTTAGGAATTATGTAAATTAAGAGAACGAATACATTGCACAAGGGAAAAAAAGTAAGGACATTATTAATGGTTGTGGGAATTTTACATAAATCTCCAAGTATAAGCTAACACATATAATAAAGTTTTGTGTGAACTGTTCAAATGGAAACTGACATGTATTTAAAACATTGGGGTTGGCATAAATTTATAATGAAATTAACTTATTAATAGGGTTTTGTATAATTTTTTATTAAACACTAACACATATAGAGTCTTACATCAACTGTTTTGGATAACTGTTTACTTAATAGGGTAAACCAACCAGTGAAGGAACACTACCCAGTGAAGGAACATTTTATATATATTGATTAAAAATAAGAATTTGAAAGTTTTTCTTTAGATTGATTGGTAACAATAGCTTACTGCCAAACAATAGGAAGTCATCTAGCAATGTTTTGGATTACCTGGTCAAATAGACTTCTCTGGAAAAATTTTTGAATTTGTTATTATCTCTGCAACACCTTGTTTCTTTGAAAAAATTATAAGGTGAGTGTTTGTATTTATATGTTTGAAGTGGAATTAATTGCATGTAATAGTTTTATTTTTCTCACAGTGAAAAAGAGAATTCAAAATGTAGTTATTGAAGCTACGTTTTATTTTTTAAGCATCATAGCATAATAAAGTACTGAGATTAGGGGGTGTTAATTCACTGGATCACCAAAGGATGAAAAACCAGTGAAGGAACAAATGTTTCTTTACTGTGTTTTTTTCTAAGTTAATGAAAATAAAAGATAAACTTGAATTTTCTTGTACCTTTGTTGATGTTCCGCATCAAAAGTATGCTAAAAATACGAAAAACAACTTCTAACCAGGGAACAGGCATGTTCCTTTACTGGGCATAGATTTCCCAGTGAATGAACAGTGTGTTAATATGTTGACACTTTAATCTTCAATTCATGATTTAAAAAAAAAAAGTTAACATTTTCCAAGTATTTATTTATATGTTATAATTTCAAGAATAGGCTTGTTTTTAAATATTTCTATGGCTTACAAATTCATAAAGAGCATTAAAAAATAACCAAAATTAAGTGTTCCTTTACTGGGTGTTCATTCACTGGTAAGAGCTGTTCCTTCACTTGGTCTTCTTACTCCTTGTTATTTGAACCTTCAAAACTGTAAAACAATATTATGTAAGTTCTCTGCAATTTTTTTTACATCATTTGCAATTAGTAACAAATATGTTGACCCTGTCATTTAGCTAAAATTACGAATTTTGAAATTATTATGATTTTTTAAAAGGCAAGCGAAGATTAAATGTTCCTTCACTGGTTAGTTTATCCTAAATAATGTTTCCTAAAATACGTAAACATTAAATTAAACTTTAAAACGTTGCTTAACTCTGAAGTTAACCGAAATACATCTCGTGAACCTCGTCGAGCCAGTATTACCAATCCAGTACTCAGCAAGCCGTTCATGCCAGGTATCGAGCCAGCTATAGTTTAAATTTGACTTTTTGCACTTCAATATACTGACCGTACTTAAGTGCTTCGAAATGGAGCTATGAATAGTTACGAGGGTATTCACCGCCTCACACCAGCACGCTCTACAGGTCTGAACCCCATTGAAAATTATCAGGATACTTTGAGTTGTAGTCACTCTTAGGCGCTTACCTACTCAGAGCATCAATCTAAGGTTAAATCTGAAATTTTAAAGGAGTAGATGGCCCTGTCACCACTGGTTTGTTGCCAAAGTGACGGGCTCTTCGGTTTTTCTCAACTGTGACAGAACCTGACAAACGGTATTTTCAAGATTGGAAAGTGGAGGATTTTTTCGTTCTTTAAGGGCAAATGGCAGTCTGCTCTAAATTTCAAGCTCGGCAAGCTTCTGCAGAAAACATCCTGCCCCTGCTTGGATCTTTCCAAGGAAGGCTTACACGATTTCCCCCTTCTGATTCTTGATTTTTTGAGTGTTAACGGTCTAATGGATCTTGTCTGACCTCGTCAAGACAGTTGGAGGATTAGCCACAACAACTTTTGCTGGTAAACAATGCCCTCAACACATCACTCATAACCCAACAATGGCCAAGCATCTGACTCCGTTGTCCAGTGCTCTTTTTTTAATAGCCATGGTAAAAATGCCACCAGAATTTAACCCAGTAGTTCCCAGGGGTGATTTCCCCTAAATTGGTAATTTCTCCCCTCAATGGGATATTCGAACGAAAATAGAAAAGAACAACAATAAAAAGCTAATGACAGTAATATACGAACACCGTTCGCGGAAAATTCGCCACAATGGCGGTATTTTTTTTTTAGTTTTACAAAAAAAAAGAAGAAAAAAAACTATCAAAATTATCTTATCTTAACGCTCAGATCTCTCTGGCAGAGAATATGAGAATTTCTTTCTCTGCTGCGTGCAGCCGCACTCATCCCGCGACTTTTCTGCATTTGACTTTCAGGCATACTGGTTGAGAATCTTCTGCGTTTTTCTTTTTTTCAATTCAAATTTTTTTTTTAAATCCGCTTTTTAGATGAAAGTTCATCATTTACAAATTTCCGAGAAAGAGAAATTATTCGCTTATTCGTTTCAGTGCTTTATCCTACCTATGCAAACACGATTTAAAATTACATTCACCTGATTTAAAATCGCACATCGTGTTTGTTATTTTCACGATATTTTAGCATATATCGCTTAAAAAAGCCAGTGTTTGTGTTCAAGTGACTTTAAAATTATGCAACGGAATTTGTATTCACGCGAAAGTCAAATATTGAATTTGTATTCTACGCGATTTTAAAACCAACATCGAGATTCGTATTCATGCGATTTCGAAATCAAACATCGAGATTCGTAATCATGCGATTTTAAAATTAAATATCGAGATTCGTATTCGCGTGATCTAAAACTGACACATTAATATGCATATTACTCACAAATTTTAAATAAATCTCACATTGATATTTTTAGAAAAATGTTGATAACATTCTATAGATAAATGTTTCCTACAGGCACTTTTTTCTTTTTTGTTGTTTTGCATTTTTCTAATTATTTAAAAAGTGTTTTTGCTCATAAAATTTTTGGATTTCTATGTTCAGCTTTTTCGGTTTTTTTATCAAAGTCATTCCTATGATAGGAATCAATATCACTCGAATAAAAGTTTTCATAAAAGTTAAATCATTCTTTAAAAAATCCGTGATTTTCAAACAAATTTCGCCAAATAGAGGTGACGACGAAATGGTTGAAACATGTTACGAAAGTTAATTAATTGGGTGCAGATAGTTTTTTAGTTGTGATTTTGTGTTTGCAGGAAGTTTGTCTAGCGAATGTCGAAATTGAAAACGTATACCAAAATCGAAATTGAAAACGTATACGAAACCATAGTTCAGACAAAGAATCACGAGATAAAAAAAAACTAAGTAAATAAAAAAAATTATAGTTGAAGAGCTTTCTCGTCATACTTCGGGTTGAACAGGGATCTGTCTTCCGGATCCTGTCATTAAGAAATAGTTTGAACATTTGCAAAGCGGACCTCTGAAAACATTCATGCTTAAATTGAAAGCACAAGGCTTTAATTGAAAGCACTTACAGTCAATGTAAAGATGAACAATAGAGTTTTCAAATTTGATTATCAACGTTTTCAATTTTCAGAGATTCCAATTAAAAAGAAATAAATATGTACTCCTATTTAAATTCTTCAAATATCTGTTCTTTTTGAAAAATAAAGAAGAAAAAAAACTAAGAAATTCAGTATTACCTATGCTTATTAGTAACAACTCATGGTTTTTTAAGCAAAGAGAAAAGAAATAGAAAACAGTCAATATTTAGGGGAAGGTGATGGGTGAGAATCAACATTTAGAGAGAGCTAATAGGCCAAAACAATTTTGGGATTTAACCTCACTCTTCTACACCACAACGAAAGGACTTTCAATCACTTTAAATTTATGTGCACCTTGCTGCGTGTCCACGCAGGCTGTTTATTTGGCTGCCTGGATCGAACTCACGAGCTCTCCACTAGCGGTATGAGCAATGCCTTAATTGCGCCTACAGAACGCACGGTGCCCTCCAATAAATAAAGAATTTCTCATTTGTGTTGAGACGAAGGAACAGAATAAATTACTCTAACACCTTTCTTTTTTCTCAAAGTATAACAAGATGTGTGGTCAGGGCCTGATCCAAAAATATGAACGCTGTAAGCACGCAACTTTCATGGTGACTATCATATCCCGTAATCACAATTTACGCCAGAATGCCTGCGGTCGCTAATTGCATTCTTTTTATTCCACTTTTACGTATTTAGCACAAACTAATCATTTTTGTCCCTTAAACCTTTTTCAAAGCCTTTTAGATTTCAACGCACAAAATATTATTTTTATAATAATGTCCAGAATTCTGGCATTATTTTAATTCGCTCAGCAGCTAACCATACAAACCTTTAAATCACGTATTACATAGCCATTTGATATGAATCCTTAGAAATTAACCACCTGTGCCTATATAGTTTGAGTTTCTTTAGGATATATACATATATATCCTAAAGAATGTTTCTATATTTTTAGTTGTCTAGTCTAGTTAGTCTTTAGGCTGTTTTTCGAAGGTTCCGTCTTTACATGAAATGATGCTTTTTTGTGGATAATATGAAAATTTTTATAACTGCTGTGAGTTTCCAACTTTTACTGTTAGATCAAGTTAAGCCTATCTAAAGCCAGCGCTGTCTACGCTTATTTTGAAAATGACGCAAAACATTAATATGGTGAAAAGCCACAGTTTTGTGAAAAGGAAAAGCTTTTGTGGTCCAATTCTTTAATATTTAAAGACTTACTCCAATGCTGCATTACTTGGGTTCATAAAAATTTGCAAGAACAGAGAATAAGGAAGCGATTTTGAAAATTTTCATCTAGGTGGGAAAATGTCGCCAAATTTGCGATTTTTTTTTTTTTTAAAAGTTTAATATCTTCTAAAATATTAAAGTTATTTGTCTGTTCTAAAGCCCAGATAATTCTTCGCGGTAAGATTATATATATAGTTTAAAATCATCGCATTGCATCAAGTATAAGGGGCTTAAACTACGAT